AGTGAGACTCCAACTCAAAAAAAAAAAAAAAGAAAGATCCACTGGCTGCTATGTGGACAACAAATTGAAGGGAACAAAATCAGAGACCCATAAAGCTCTGTCACAGTCATTCAAATGAGGATGCTACAGCCTGGACCAGGGAGGAGGCAGTGGAGGTAGGAAGAAAGGCCAGGTTACAGAGGCTCCTAGGGGGCAGAGTGAACAGGACTGGGTAATGTGTTGCTTGGTGGGTGAAGGGTGGGGAGTTGGCCATGAAGACACCCTGAGATCCAGCTTGAGCAAAGGGTAAGAAGTGTGTTCTCAACACACACATACACACACACACACACACACACACACACACACACACAGTATGGAGACCAGGATATGCACAAATGTGTATATACATTCATACACATATAAACACGTCCACACAAGCTCACAGGCCAAGAGAAATAGAGACACAGATATACTCGACAGGCTAAGAAACACACACAGGCCATGATGCTTGCATACAAACATGCATATCTTCAAACATATCAAAGAACATGACAAGGCATAGACTGGCCAGGCTTGGTGGCTCAGCCTGTAATCCCAGCACTTTGGGAAGCCGAGGCAAGTTCAAGACCCACCTGGGCAACTTGGCAAGACCTCCTCTCTACAATAAATCAAAAATTAGCTGGGCGTGGTAGCACGCACCTGTAGTTCCGGCTACTAGGAAGGCTGAGGCGGAAGGACCGCCGGTCGAGGCTGTGGTGGCCAGCAGCGTGCCACTGCACTCCAGTCTGGGCAACAGAGTGAAATTCCAACTCAAAAAAAAAAAAGAATAGGCATAGACTGAGAGAAATGTTAACACACCCACCCACAAACACAGGCCAGGACACATGCTCACAAATGTACATACATGTGAACCCTAAAGACTTACTCATACCTGACCACCAGAAAGCACACATCTGAGGCACAGACTGAGAAAAGGAGCAATACAGAAGGACACACAGAAATACAAGCAGAGACCAGGAGTGCCACCCTAGAGCTGCCCCTTACTGGCTCTGTGACCCCAAGTGGTCATGTCACTTCTCTGTGCCTCAGTTTTCTCATCTGTCAAAAGGAGATGATAATGATCCCTCCCTCATGGGTTGTGGGGCAGATAGCACAAGTTACTTCAGCACACAGCAGTTGGGACAATGTTTGCTCTTTCATGCAACACTCACTTGTCCACCATCTGCATCTGATCCCAGGCCTCCTACCTTCAGAAGCATTGGCCTCCTTCCAGGCCCCAGATCTAGCCCTTCCTCTGTTTCCCCCCACTTCCTTCCCCGTCACCCTTCTCACCCCTGCTCAGTCCCTAGGGGCCAAAGTCCAGGCCAGGTCCAGCTGTCCAGAGGCTCTTTAGGGCAAAGGGCTAGTGCCCAGTCAGCAGGACACCCCCCAGAGCTGAAGCCCCTCAGCCCTACCTCTGCCCCAGTCCTTCCTCATGGCCTGCAGGACTGCTCCTGCCCCAGTGCCCTCTGCCTGGGATTCCTGGGCAAGTTTCTGGCAGTCTCAATATCCCTTCCTCCCGGCTCTACCCAGACCAGCCCTCAGGGAGCCTCACTGAACAGGACAAAGGGCAGGACTCTGGATCCAGCCCCTTCCCCAGTGCCTTGTGCAAGTGACTTCTGACAGAGGTGTCCTCTCTTCTCATCTTCAATAAAGATCCCTATCCCATGGGCTGGGAGCAGAAGAAACTGGGTTTATAAAATGTGAATTCACAGTGTCAGGCAATCTTGATCAAGTGCCAGGCACCGGGCACTACCCAAGAGCTGAATAGAACAGGCAAAAGTCCCTGGCCTCAGGGAGTCTATAATCTAGTGGGGGAGACAGAGAACACA